CTTACTAATATCTTCATGCTACCATAATGAAAGTCTGTATGAATATATTCTGCCTTATAAATTTATCTAAATATCTTTATGTAATCTTAATTTAAAGAACTTGAATTTTATTTATGAAGACTTTCATTATCAGCATATTGAAATAGCATCTAGTATTTATTTGTTTCGATTAATCTACAGTTTGCATAATTATTAAACTTTGTAAATTTATAGAAATAAATTAATTCAATGTGTTTAATAAAATATACAATGATTTAACTTCTTTTAGGATTTTATATATCTATCACTTCAGCAACTTTTAATCTTATACTATCTAACCAGATCTCAGAAAATACAGAGTCAAATCTACTTTCGCCAATTTTTTTTATATTATTCAGTCTATCAAATAGATTCTATTCAATCATATTTTATAATTACTTGTTCTAAGTTGAAACAATTTGATTTAATTTTTCGATATTCTTAATTCTACTTGACTATTCTCAAGTTTTATATCAGGATCATATATCTGACACATGCTTGATATGTGTTATATTTATTATAGTATTATATTAAATATAAAATACTATAATACCTATTATTTGATAATTAGTTAATTATAGTTTTTTTTCTTTTAATTTAGCAAAATACGAAATCGTAGTTCACTAAAATAATTTATAATTATTAGTTATTATTTTGGTGTATAATACACATACCAATTTAAATTATTAATTATATTAAAACCTGAGATCAGAAGTCATCTTAATCAATATAAATCTATATTTATGATTAATAATTTATAAGTAAACCTATTGATTTTAGCAAAAAAAAATTAAAACTAAAAATAAAATAAAATATCTTAATAAACTGTCAGTTGAATGCTAGACTAAAAAGTGCTCTAATATACTCCACCTCACATATAGGAGTTGTAACTACCCACTCTTTCTGTCATATTTTTTAAAGAAATTTTTGATTTCGATTGTGATTTATTTTTATATTTTTATACTGCAGAACTTCATCTATCGATTAAATACTCCATTGATCAATTACTGCTTTAGCCTTAAATTTAAAGAAGCACAATTTTTATTTTTAAAATTAATCGACTCAGTCATATTTTTCTATAATATCAAAATAGAATATTTGATTTAATTTTAGCTTTTTTTTTTTAAAAAAAAAAAAACCCCTCAATTTAGATAACTATCATATATACATACATATATATATTTAACTTATTGTTATAAAATACTGAATACTTAACCAATCATGCATAGAGTAAATATTATCATATTGTTCCCAAATATAGATTAACTATCATCCCTATGATTAGAGCTTCGATCTTTAATCTAACTATCTAGATTGATCTTTAAATCTAGATAGATTCAGATATTTAGATCAAAGATTTTTACTCAGATTGGTCAAAGAACTTAATTAATGAACCTAAGGATATGCTACAAAGCTAGCTTTATATATAATCTAACTCAGATTCAATTTGGATTTAATAGAATCTGGATTGCTTGTCAAAAATAGGATCGAAGCTTGACCTATTACTATTTAGAAATTTAATAAATTATTTTTTAACTGTAAATGTCAAGCGTAATGTGCATGTGACACATCATAATGATATAATCATATAGTTAATCAGTAAATTTATTATTTTATATAAAAGAAATTTAGCACTAATTTTAATGTTACTACTCTCTTTCAAAGTTTCTTTCTTTATATTATTTTTATATCAAAGTGTTATACTTTTTTTTTTCTAATTTGAACTTAGATTTCACCAAATTTTATATATTTAATTCTTACTTTCTATTTTGGATTTATATTTGGCAAATTATGAATTCGTAGTTTGCTAAATTTAATATTTCTTTCTTATTATTTTTTTAGTTCTTATTTTTCTCTCTTTACTTATATTTCTGCTTCTATATTTTATTAATTTGCTAAATATTAAAAATATTAAATATTTTCATATATTATAATAGCAAAAACTGGTTCTGGTATTGTTATATTAAATAGTGATATCAATAAATTGCGAATCAGTCATTTTACAAACTAGAACATAATATACCCATGACCAGTTTAGATGAAAGAGGCCGTTATATTTGGGCAAGGGTGAATATAGCCATAGATCTGTCTTCTTTATCTGTATTAAGAAACTTGGGCTTCAAACCAGACAAAACAATTACTATAACTATTCTTGGTATGTTGGAAGAACTAGACAAAACATTTACTACAACTATTCTCAGTATGTTGAAAGAACCAAACAAAACAATTACTACAACTATCTTCAATACGTTGAAAGAATCAGACAAAACAATTACTACAACTATCCTCAGTATGTTAGAAGAATTGAAAAACAACAACTACAGTAGTCCTCAGTATGTTGAAAATTAGCCAAACAGAGTAACAGTACACTTTATCATTATTATATGAACAAGAGAACAAGAATAATAATTTATATTATTTATGTTCTTAAGCAGTAGATTAGGATGTAAGTATTTAATTATAGTGTAAGAAAAGTATGTAATTAATATTTGAATCACAAAAGATGTCTTCCTCAAGAGTGAAAAGCTTTTATTAAATATTTTCTTTTTACTTTGTATATATTATATAGCTAATATCCCAATAAATATGGAAAACCTATTTTAGATAAAAGATTTTTATATCAACTATCTATTCAAATACTATCGCTATTAAATCTTTAATACTATATATATATACCAAATAATTTGTCTTAAAGCTCTAGATGACATATTATTAGAAAATACTTAAATTGGAACTTGTTAAGTATTATTAGTTATCTTTATTCAAGATAAATATTAAGTTTTATACAAATTTTTGTTACTATCTACTAATATATTTATACTATATCTATCTTTTTTCTATATTAACTATAATATATAATATATTTAGTTCTAATCTATTTTAGCAAATTGACCCAAGCTACCTTAATGATGACCTGAGTCTATTTTCTCCTTACAATATCATCCATATGTAAATTATACTGAGCTGCAGTATTTTTTATGTCAATTTTTATATATATAAATCACTTACATATGTATATACTATATATTGATTTAAGCTTGTACTATTATGTTATACGTATATACTAATATCGATTATAATTAGATTAATAGATATTTAATTAAACTGTATTTGATATTGAAAAATAAAACTTTAAAAAAAGTTTAATATCATGGGTTCATTAAAAGTATGTATATGTATATATCTATATATACATATATAGATATATATAAATACTTTTATTCTCTTACTATTATCGTTACAGCTTCTTAATTTCTTATTTTTTAATTTGATTTTTTTTTTTAATAGCAAAATATGAGTTCGTAGACAGCTAAACTTAATCAAACCAATTATATTAATTATTTAATATAATTCTAATCTTACTTTTAAAATATTCACTATGGTGACCCTCTGAAATTTATGATACGAATTACTGCCACAGTGTGTATTTTATTTTATTATTTCAAAATGTTATTATACAATAAATTATGTATTATAAAACTAATTATTTATTTGTAACTTTTTATGATGCTAAATCATATATTACAACAATGATATCAATTACTATTTTTTATATATATAACAAATTATGAATCTGGAATTCATTCTTATATTGGTAATTAGATTATTTTTTTATATTATATATTATAGTCAAATATATATTAATTAATTAATTAATTAATTTATATATTAATTAGACTCTTAA